AATAAAATGATCAAGAATCCTTATTCAAGAATAAGTGAATTATCTATGATTTATACAATCCGATCGATATAATAAATAAATATATTGTTCATGTGCTAGCAGAATTGGGGTTTTGACAAAATTTTACTCTCATCGTTGTTTATTGATGATGAGATGTTTAACCAAAATAAATTTATTTTGACTGAATTCTCTAATCACATTTTATTTTCGATGGTTTGTGCAAATCTTAGAAACAAATCATGAAATAATTTTGTTCCGTTGTCCAATATTTGGTGGGATTTTTTACATATTCCATTTATTTGGCCTAAAAATTTATCATTTGGCTTCCAGCATCTAAATCTAGGTATTCAGAACTTCGGTTTATAACATAAAATTCTTCTATCAACAACTTAATTGTCGTTAAAATAAAATCCTCAATATCTTTTGGTAATGAATGACTCAGCAACAAGAAAAATTTCGGTTTTTTTTATATATAAATTGTTCCATCTACATAATTCTGTTCCGATAGAGATTTTCCTGATATAAATAAGTGCCACGATAGGTTTGCTTTGTTCGTTTCGACATCCTCTGTTTGTGTAGAAAAATTGAATAGATGCGAGAGATCATTTAAAAAACTTCGCATTTTCAAGAGATTAAGTCTCTAATCTCTATAAGATATGGAGCATTCCTCAAAATGTCTTAATTTTTTAAACAGACTTTTAATTATCGTAACTCCAAAGAGTTGGGTGGGTTAGGTAACTTTAAGGAAACAATCCTATTTTGTATCTGTTGAGATGTCCAAATTGATCGCTTAATCGTTATCTATTAACTAAAAGATTGATTTTTTTATTCTTTATATATTAACTTTAACCTCGCGGAATCGTTTTATAAAATTAACTCAATAATTCAATATAAATTACTTGATAGATTTGGTAAACTATATAAGCGTGGAAATTTATTGTACTTTCCAGTTAAAATATTATATATATATTTTTATAAATAAAAATTTTAAATTTTTTAGTTAAATCTTGTCTAACTCCCTGCCAACCTTAACAGTATCTTTAAGAAGTTATTTTTCCTTAAATGTCTATGGAGGAATGTTGATTAATTTGGGCTTTTATTAATAAAATTTAAATTGGCAATATTATTTGCTTAGATCCTTTAAAAGCAAATTAAGATCCATAAGATTCCATTCGACAATTGGATATTTTATTCTCACAAATTCTAAGGCTTTCTTTCATTATTAGGACTATATATTATAGTTAATTTATGTGTTTTCCCATTTCTACAATTGTTTAATAAATTCAATAGACATATTTATATATCCTCCCGTCCACGTAATGGTCCCTGTTTGAAATTAAAATATCAATTAGGGAAAGAAATATATAATATATTTCCTAATAAAAATTTTGTTTATATCAATGGAAATTTTTAATGATTTTATGGGCTCTATTAAATTTATCAGCTCTCTATGTCCTTGGATCCAGATCATCAGGATAGGGAAGTAATAGGAGTTAAAAAAAACCTGTTCAAAAAATCTTTCGACGGGTATCAGATAAAAAAAATCTTAGCCGTTATAATTAACCTATATTTTATAAAGATAAATGAAAAAAACATTTGTATATTATATAGTGTGACTAAAAATTAAATATAATGCAGTTTATTTAGCAAAATATCTTTATTATATTAATATTGAGAAAGAGAAATAGAAAATATTGTTGTTTCTATAAAAATGTTTTAATCATCTAAAGAATGAAAATTATTATATTAACATATGCAGGAAAACTTTCATATTTTGAATTAATTGTTTACAATATTTTTGTATCTTTAAATAATTTTAATAGAGAGTATAGTTTTTTTTATATATCGTATGTCTAGTGGAATGCTCCACTCGACATTTTTAAAATTTTTGAGTTATAAGTGGATAATAACTTAATTTTAAATATATAGACAAATAAAAATTATCAATAAATTTTTCCTATATTTTATTTTAAACTTTAATGTTGATTTCTCATTTTATAAAGTAGAGCACTACAATTCTAGGCCAACGATATATAAAACTAGAATTAATATTAATATATAATGGTAAAGTTATATAATTAATATATTTTAATATACCTTTACATGTCTTGAGAACATATATGAATTTATGAGTTTTTCCAGACAGTTTATAATTATTACTCACAGCATATATAAGTGAATTTGGATACCTAGTGATGTTGACTATTTTTCCATCCTTGTCATATTTTTTTAAAACCATATCTTTACCATCCTGTACTACTTCATCCTAAAATTGTGCAGCAACAAATAAATATTAATTAATAATAATAATATTTTATTCCGCAAAAAATAGGTTAATTTTCTTTTCATAATTTTTTTATTATAAAATAATACCAATAAACTAGCTCCCTTATCCTATATATATATCTGTTTCTAATCAATTGATTCTATTTAATCAGAGAAGCTTTTTCATAAAAACTACAGAGCGATGTCTGACAACATCTACTTTTTAAATATGCGAAATTTTCAGGATTATCAGATGATATAATATTAGTTTAAATATATAACCATTTGTCCAAAATTAGTTTTTCCACAATAAATATTAAGTTATCTTAAATTTCCATTGCCTTAAAGATAAAAACAACGAGAATAAATATGGTTGGATGAAACTGAATATGTTAGAATTATTCATTTTCAACAATTTTAATATATGTTTTAGTATTAGTAAAAAAAAATAAATAGTAATAATTAATATTACGTATTTTATGTTATTTGGAAGGTCGAATGCTTCACTGATTCTGTCAGGATTACTAAAATCGATTCTCCATATATATCCTCTAGAAGATGATATAGCAAGATTTACCCTTAACTAAAAAAATAAATGTAATAATTATAATATAATATCGTAGAATCATTAAAATATACTCAATAACGTTTCCCACTTTATATTTATATCAATCTATATTATATAAGATATATCTTTCAACCTAATCTAACCTGGGTTCGAATAGTTAAGTATAGCAATTCGTTAGTTTCGGGTTTTAGTTTAAAATTTTATAAAGGTTTTGGTCCATTTCGGTTTTCATGAAGACATTCATATCGGTTCGGTTCGGAATTTGTACTCTTTTCGGTTCATTTCGGTTTATATAAATTTTATTTGTTATAAAAATTAATCATAAACCATATATACATATATACATATATATAGTGTTGTTAATTGGTTGGTTCTGTAAAACCCATACCCTGGGTTTGGGTCTAAAAAATTGACCAAACCAGCTCTGAGCACGAACCTAGAGCACAGACCCGGAGTCCAGACTTAGGGTCCAGATCCGGGGTTCAGAGGCGGGTCGTATTATTGTGAATAATTTATTTTTAATATTTACATGCATGACGTAACACCTCACTAGAAAATTATATAATATTATGTTTATGTATTATATTGTTTTGTTTAATATTGTTTTGTTTTATATTCAGTTTTAATATGATTAAATATACTATTGAAGCGATGATGATGATATTACGAATATTTTTTTGATATTACGAAACGATACAAGTTTTTAACATTATAATTGAAAACAAATTTTTACTTTATTCATTAAAATTAAAATAAGATAATTTTCATCCAATTTATAATTATAACTGTACAATTGAGATCTGCAAAATTCCAAGCTTCGGGCCGGGCCTATAAAATTAGGTTCAGGATGAGTTGGGCCAAATTTTAAAAAAAAATTTTTGCCAGGTCGGTTCGGGCCTTGGAAATTTTATTAAATATATCTAAATATAACAATTTTATGTTGAATTTTTTAAGATTGAGCTTGATTGGAATATTTCGAATACTTTTAGATATTCGTTTTTATTTATAAAGAGGGGGGGGGATTATAAAAAAGTATCTTTTTCTCCTGTCCAAAATATATAAAATTAATTTACACTTTTTATAAGTTAAATTATCTCGAGTTTTTATTTTCCATTTTTTTAAAACTTCTAGTTTTTTAAAGTAAATAACGTGTTATTTTAATTAATTTTTAAAAACAAAATATTTTTATCTTAAAAATGGGTGTTATTTTTAATTTAATCAATATGTTTAATAAATCGTCACCCGAGTCTGGACCCCTGGTCTGAATCCCGGGTCTGGACTTTGGGTCAACCTGAGCACATAAAAAGGTCGTAAATTTTACGACCAAGCAAATTAACAACACTACACACATATTATATATATATTAAGTCTTAGAGAAAAATCATTATAATTTATAGTTATAATTCCTTATTTAATTTAACCATGAAGATTATTTCTTATCTGATTAAGCAGTAATTTGCCTAATCTCAATTACAATTGAGTGCATAAAGTTTAAATAATAAATTTGTATTGGTATTGATTGATATGAAGAGAGTGGCAATTTAATCGTTAAATATTATAATTTAAGAAATCACGAATTAAAATGGCCACCAAAGAAAATTAAAATTTCAAACGTAGACCAATAATTTAAATTTCATTATTTTAAAAAAACTGTTTTGAACCTTTTAAAACCGGTTCAAACAATTCGGTTCGCTCTTTCTATATTTCCTTTATAACGGTTTAAGTTTCGCGATTCGGTTCTGTTTAAAGCCCTGGATCTAACTTTAAATTTTTCGGGAAAATTTAACTTCATTATGATTTGCGTATAATTGACTTGAATATATTTTTTTTGAATCTTTTATTAATTAAATATTTTAATACGTAATAAATTCGTGTTAGAATTTAATATAAACATGTGTTTCGAGTAATCTTATTATAGTTACTATCAGTGTTAAACTAAATATGAGGTTCTATTTTGTTAGAGGTTAACTCTAATTAGATTTTACTACTTTCATGTAAAGGTTCTTTCAGGGCTTTCCGTGAAGATTTTAAAAAAACCTTTCTCTGATTAACAGAAAACACCCTAAAGATTATAAATCAATTATGTTTACATCGCTTTCAACGCTAAGGTATTCAGGTTTTATAGGTAGCCAAAGAATTAATAAATAATATTCGTGTAAGAATATTCCATTCTTGAAAATGTCCTTAAAATTAGCATTCCAAACAATCTTGTCCCATTCTCTTCTCAAGTAAATCTGGTTTTTACTTTATAAAAAAAAAATATTTTATATTAAATGAGTATTTTCTTTTAAATAATTAAAGGTTAATCGATAAGAAATAAATAACTTTACACATTTTATGGCTCAAATTTTGTCAACCCAAAACAAATATTTGTGTAAGCAGTTTTAACTTAATTTTTGTCAATTGAATATAATTGCGTTAATTTAATATTATATCATAATTCCTTATAATAAAATATTTTTATATATTTTATGTATCTATTCTTTAATCATACTTTCATCTTTAAAATACCATAAACTTTTAATATCAAATTCTTTAATATATTTTCAAAAAATTAAATAAATGCAATGTTAAAATTTTAAAAAAAGTGATTTGTGGATGATGGAATAATGATAGAGTAAAAAATAAAAAATTACTAACCAAGGACATATTAAATAATTAATATCTTACATTTTGTAATATAAAATACTATTTACACAAATATATTTATCATAAATATCAAAAAAATAAAATAATAATAATTTCGAATATTTACAAATTATTTCGAGAAATTTAAATAATTAAAAATAATTACAATAATTCGATAGAATAATTAGGTAAAAAAATTATTCGACCGATAATATATTCTTCCTATTCATATTCGAGATTTTTTAGAATCGAATAATTTTGCTAATCGCAATAGTAAATAAAAAACTAATCAAATGAAATAAAGAACAATTAGGTAAATGGAGGCTAATTAAGTCTAAAGTTATAGGCTGGATTATATAAATAGATCAATATTTATCTAGAAGTTAATGATGATTTTTTTTTAACTACATGGTCTAAAAAATATACACATAAATTTTGAAAAACAATTCTAAGTATATTTTTGAAAAAAAAATTTCTATTATTCTATAAATATATTACAGTTTGGTAAGCTTTCTAGAAGCAAAGAAGTCCTTTATATTACTCGTTCCATCCTTTTTAACTTCGCACAAATCTTTGAGAAGCTCTTTACCTAAATATGATAATAATAATATGATATTTTTTATAAATCATGCTATATATTATTTGCAAAATAAATTTCCTTAAATAATTACAATTTATCGTTGGATATATAAGCTAACAAGGAATTGAATACATTATATAAATTTTAAAATCTCAGGATGACTGATATTTATTTAAAGACAATAAAGGTATGCCAAAAATTATTCTTTACATAAAAAATCTATGATATTGTTAATAAAGACATATTTGACACTATATTTGAGATATTTTTAGCTATAATGTTTATAAAGTATTTATTTATTACCCATTAATCTGACCTGTCTAGTTTGACAATTTGTCGACCACATGTGAAACAGTATTAACCCATAAAATGGGAGATGCTTATTCATTTAAGAAATAAACAATCTAATTTTTATAATAATTAAAGGACATTATTTAAAATATCGATTAGAAAGATATTAAAATTTTTAATAATTGTTTAGCCCAGTATTTATATGACTTTGAAATTTAGGCATTTTTGATGAGTTTTGGACTTTGGAATAATTTTGAAAAAGTGAGTTTTTATTTCAAAGAAAGGTTGTATGGAAATTTTTTTAAATTTTGTCAGAATATTAATTAAATTTATCAGCGCTCTATGTCCTTGGATCCAGATCATGAGGATAGGGAAGTAATGGGAGTTATAAAAAAAATATGTTCAAAAATTTTCGACAGGATATCAGATGAAAGAAAATTTAATATATTATAAAGATAAATTTTAAAAAAAAAGATTGTAATAATAAAGTGTGACTAAAAAGTAAATATAACGCAGTTTATAGCAAAGTATCCTTATTTATTAATAATGAGAAAGAGAGACAGTATATTTTTTTATTCTTATGAAAATGTTTCAATCATCAATAGAATGGTGGATATTATTTTATTAATAAATGCAGGAAAACATTCAGATTTTATATAATTTTAATAGGTGGTATAGTTTTTTTTTTTTATATATGTTAGCGTCAATGTGTTTTTTTCAACTTCAAGTCATTTTTTGAGCATGTATTTTTTTAAATTGAAAAATCTGTTTGAACCGGAAAGATAGCCATCATGTTTGGAATACCTATCTTATGAATTGTAAACAATTTTGCTAATAATTGTAATTTATATTTAAAAAAATATGGATAATATAATATAAATTATATTAAATTTAAAGTTTCATAGGAAAATGGTCTAAAATTTATAGGGTACGCATTCCAAATATGACGGCATATATTTCCGATAAAATCAGGATTTTTTTAATTTAAAAAAAAAAGGATCACAAATAATGTCTTAAAGGTTGTAAAAATAACAATGCAGAAAAAAACACATTGACGCTGACATATATAAAATTAGAATTAATATTAATATACATATAATGATAAACTTATATATAAATTATAATATAATATACCTTTACATGTCTTGAGAACATAATTTATTACATGAGTGTCTCCAGTCACTTCTAAATTATTACTTATATAATATAAAAATGAGTTGGGATATCTTGCGACGTTGACCATAATTCCATCCTTGCCAACATTTTTTAAAACTACATCGTTACCATCCTGTACTATTTCACTCTAAAAAGTGTTGCAACAAATAAATATTAATTAATAATGTATTGTATTGAAAAAATATATAATTATTTGTTTAAAAATAGTACTAACAAACTAAGCTCCCTTATCTAATAAATATATATCTGTTTCCAACTCATTTTCATAAAAACTATAGAGCTATGTCTGATAATATCTACTTTTTAAATAAGCCAAAATTTTAAGATTATCAGATGATGGATTATTAATTCAAATATATATACATTTGTCCAAAATTTGTTTCCCATAATAAATATTAAGTCTTAAATTTCTATTGCCTTAAAGATAAAAAAGATTAAAGAGGGGTATAAGAAATTGAAAAATATCTTAGAATTTATCATTTGCAACAATATTATAATATGTTTGTTTTAGTATTAGTAAAAAAATAAAATAATTAATATTACAAATGTTATGTTGTTTGAAAAGTCGCAATCGTCACTGACTATGTTATCATTACTAAAATCAATAATACATAGAGTCAAGTCAGAAGATGATGATAAAGTATTTTTTATGCTTATCTAAAATTAAATAAGTGTAATAATTAATTAAATATTCTGAATAGCGCTTTTCAATTTGTATTTATATCAATATATATTATATAAAATATTTCATTCTATCTTCTCTCTGATATAACCAGGGCTTCGAACCGTTAAGGATATTAGATTTGTTTCGTTTTTAGGTTAAAATTTAATAAAGGTTTTGCTCCATTTCAGTTTTCGTGAAGATATTCATATCGGTTCAGTTCTGTTCGAAGCCCGAGATCTAACGTTAAATTTTTCGGTAATATTTTATCTCATTATGATTTGGTATAATTTACTTGAATATATTTTTTAAATGTTTTATTAATTAAATATTTTAATACATAATAAATTCGTGATAGAATTTAATATAAACATGTGTTTCGGCTAATCGTATTATAGTTAATGTAAATAAGTGTTAAACTAAATTTGAGGGTATATTTTGTTAGAGGTTAACTCTTACTAGATTTTACTATGTTCGTGTAAAGGTTCTTTCAGGGTTTTCCGTGAAGATTTTATATAATAAAACCTTTTTCTGATTCACAGAAAACACCATATCGATTAAAAATCTATTATGTTTACATCGCTTTTAACGCTAAGGTCTTTAGTTTTTATAGATAGCCAATGAATTAGGAATTTATAGTCGTAAAAGAAATTTTCATTCTTGAAAACATCTTCTCGATCAAATTTCAATACAACACTGTCTCCTTCTTTATACAAGTAAACCGGTTCACTTTATATAAAAAAAAAATTTATTTTATATTAAATGGAGTTATTTTCTTTATAAAAACAAATAGTTAATCGAGATAAGAAATAAATAACTTTCACAATTTAAGGCTCAAAAATTGTAATCCAGAAACAAATTTAGCAGTTTTATAATTTAGATATAAATTATCGACCGATAATATATTTCTCCTATTTATATTCGAGATTCAAATTTTAGAATCAAATAATTTTGCAAATCGCAATAAAAAAAAACTAATCTAACAAACAATTAGGTAAATGGAGGCTAATTAAGTTTAAAGTTATACGCTGGATTTATGGTGATATTTTTTAACTACATGGTTTTAAAAAAACATATAGATAATTTTGAAAAACAATCTAAGTATATTTAAAAACTCTTTTTTTTCTATTATTCTATAAATATATTACAGTTCATCAAGCTTTTTAGAAGCAAAGAATTCCTTTATATTACTCTTGCCATCCTCTTTAACATAGCACAAATCTTTGATAAGCTCTTTACCTAAATATGATAATAATTATATGATAATTTTTTAAATCATGCTATATATTATTTGTAAAATAAATTTTCTTAAAGAATTATCACAACTTATAATTGGACTGCAACCTTATTCTATATATGAGGTAACAAAGAATAGACTATATCATATAAATTTTAAAATCTCAGGATGTCTAATATTTATTGAAAGAAAGGCATTATTTTGACTATATTTGAGATATTTTTCGCGTTTAAAAAGTAACAATTTGCCAATTAATATGACCTGTCTATTTAAAAAAATTTGTATAATCCAATTTTAAAAGTTAATATAAAAATATCACTATCGACCATATGGTAAACTGTATTAACCCATAAAATGGGAAAGGCTTCTTCATATAAACAAAACTAATTTTTTAAATAAATGATAATTATACTATAATATAAAGACGATAGGCGTAGCCAGGGGGGAGAGAGGGATAAAGGCAAATTCCCCCTCCCTTCAGAAATTTATCACTTTTTGTGAATATCATTTTAAGCTAACAAAAAATATCCCCCATAGTCCTCGCCCCCACTTGCTGACCCTCTAGTATGCATATATCTTAAACAATAATTTGAAAGAAAGAATGGAAAGTTGATATTTTTTTATAAAACTAGTCATCATAATTTATACATTTTTGGAAAAAAGCATTTGTATATAAAAAAAGTGAACTAAAATGTTTTTTAAAAAATGGAATATAAGCCAAAGATAAGTCTTAAAACAAAAGTGAAATTAATGATAAATTAATAATAGATCCATAGAATTACTAAGTAATATAATATATCAAATATAATTTTTTATAAAGTGTGTAATTTTAATTTATTTATCTTAATAAAATTAAAATATAATTACAAAACGATAAAATTAATTCATAAATCAAATAAAAAAAATTAAAGCACAATACAAACAGTGGAATATTGTATGTCGTAGATTTACAGTATATCTAATTTTATATCATATGACAATCAAGTAATTTTTACCAATATAGCGAATTATATATTTTACAGAAAATTATAAAATATTGATAAGGACATCAGAAAATATCATTTAAAGACATTGTGAAATAAATAATATGAAGATTAATTTTAATATCATTTTTAATCAAAATAAATAGATGGCGTTAAATACTTGAATTAAAATTGTTGCTATATTTATGATCAAGAGCATTGATTAGTAAAATTTGTTAATATTAACTGTAATATATTCTCTATCTGTCAAATATGTCTGCAAAAGTTTACCCAGTATTTTGTAACCATCTATATAATAAAGGAATATAAACTATATATCTACTTACTTTTTATAATTAAATTTCTTATACTTGTTTGGAATAAATTATTGCCATGCTTTTATTTTAATGTATATACAAGTAATTTATTATATTTTATATAAACTATTAAAAATATATTCCACATTTGTTACAGGCTTATTTTTTTTAATAAAATTAACCTCCTATCTTGTAAAAGTATTTTATGACTATATAGAGTAAGGTAACTTGGCCGAATGCCGGGCAAAAGCATGCTGAAGGCCCGCCCAAAATAAGGTCTGGGGGCGAAGCCCCCAAAATTTTTTAATTTACCCCCCCCCCCCCCTTAGGAAAATCCTTGGCTACGCCTATGTTTCCCAGAATTTAATTTATAATATCTAAATTATTTTATATTTTATTTTGTAATAGATGTTTTATTTTTTAATAAAAATGAGTAATTTTCCCAGAAATTTGTTAACTAGTGTATAAAAATAAGGTTATTGTACTTTTTAAAAATTATGAAAAAATATTACGAGATAAAAAAAAATACAGCCTTTTATTTTTTTTACAGATTGCAAATAAAATAAAAATCAGAAACTTGCAGAGGTATTATTTGCATAGATCGGCCCTGATTTTTTTTAAATAAAATTTCAAACCCGGCCCGGATTTTTTTTAAATTTTTTGATTTTTATAGCTAATAATGGCGATTTCAGATATTTGGTAAATATTAAATATATATATATAATTAAATTGCAAATTTTAATGAAGGATTTTAAGGTATTAATATTTATTTATTATCAATCTTTGTTCAGAAACTGATATCAGCAACTTATTGACATTTTCGAGATTTTA